CGGGCTTGGGAATTATATCAGTCGAAGCAGCGGCTGCTATGATAGATGGCTATCACAGCAGCTGGTGCTTCGACTGATATAATTTACAAGACTGGGAGAGGGGAGGAATTCCGATACGAAAAGCGTGCGCCCGTTGGATTACTCGATCGTGCGGTCGTCGGAAGATAGCAAGCGTGGAGGTTTTGGATGGCCGGCAGTCCTGTTCGAGGTGTGAAGAGCATGGTAGAGTTCCTTTTCGTGTGCGCATTCCGTAGGAAAATCATCGTCCACATCGACGGTCGATGTTCGTTGATCTCATGGAAGCTTCTTCTCCACCCTACCTGAAGCTTGGTAGGGTGGAGCAGAAGCACCCATGAGATCAACGAAATCCGCCGACGTTTGCTCACCAACAACCAACAGATTAGTCGAAAGCTCGACGAAACCATCGATTAAGCCCGCTCGTGACCGTAGCGTTCAGGTCGACTGTTAATGTTCGTTGATCTCATGGACGCGAATTTCTCCACCATACCAGGCTTCACGGTATGGTGGAGAAATTTGCGTCCATGAGATCAACGAACATACACAGATACATGATTTCGCATGATTATGCCAGTGATCTATGCCTAAAGCATCGCGTCTTTCGCTCGATGTAAATACGCGGTGCTTTGGACATAGATCACTGACACAATCATCAATCATACGCCAGATCCATCGCCCGACGTGCGGTCACGAACGGCTTAGCCTAAGTCCTGAGACCATCGGCTAAGCCGCTCCTGACCGCACGTCGGCAAGAGCCTGACAGTCTCGTGGATGGTTCGTTGGTGTTGTTGTCTCGGTCGTCGCATCCGCTTTGAGGGTTGGGGTTGAAGATCGATAGGGACGTGTACGGGACAATTGCGAAAGGGATCGGCGTGGAATGAGCGTGTGCCGCCTGCGAAGCTCCCACAATGCGACGACTCAGCTCCAGACCCGGACTTTGTGAAACCCTGACCCCCTCCCATATTCCACCTCTTTAAAATTCATCCCCAGCGACCCTCCTAACCCACTCCACCGTCTCTTGCACACGACTCAGAAAAGGACTATGCCCACACGCCAGCCTCGTCACTTGCACCTCCCCACCCTCCGCCGTTGCCATCTCAATCATCTTATCCTGCGCAACGACCGGCATACTCCTATCCTCCTCGCAAACCAAATAAGCACTAGGGATATTCCTCCACGCCGCCCCCGTCGTCTTCGCATAAGCGCTCGCCAGCGAATGCGGTTGGATTTGCGAAAACCAGTACGTCTGTTCGTCGAGAGGAAGGTCGGAGTAGAAGACATGTGGGTCGAGAGCGTGGATATATGGTCCGGAGATTTCAGTCCAAGGAGGAAAGGTGTGGTTTACCGAGTCCATTAGGCTGACACCTTCGGGTAGCATGCTGGCAGCGATGTATCCACACTTCACCACTCCACCTCTTTTCCCTAGGGCTTCTCGCTCGGTTTTTCCGAAGCCGACGAGAGCGCTGCTGGCGACGATGCCGCCCCAACTGTGGGCTAGTACGACGACGTCGTTACCGGAGTCGCCGATGGCGGAGTTGATCATGGAGTGGACGATTGCAATGTCGGCTGAGAGATCGGTGGTAGGTGTGGTGCTGCCGACGGAGGCGAGTTGGCGTGCGTGCGTTGTGTACCCGAGAGCGTGCAGCTCGGTAGTAAGAAGAGAGAAGGCGGAGGGTGTGTGCCAGGCACCGGGAATGAGAACGACTTGTGGTTTTGTCATTGTTATTGGTGTGTTTGAGAAGGTCATTGGGAGTGGTGGTGTCTGTGATGCGAATAGGTCTGCGGACTGCAGCAATTTAAACATTTGCAAAGTAGGTGACCTAACGTCGGTGTAGGCTCCGGGGTATTTAGCTGTTTCCTAGGTCGGCCGAGAATGAACGAAATGGTCAAGCACGACCAGTACTAGCAAGTTTATCGCGCACTCCGAATGCGCCTGCCTTCGTGAATGACAGTCATACAGTCCAACGTAGTAGTTCCCAAACGTGGAAGTTTATCGCGCAGTTATCCCGATGGAGCGATTCCGCACGAAGAATGCTATGGCCCGGGGTCCTTGGGCACCGGAACTCCGAAACTAGGTTGTCGCGGGCGTGAATGGGGATGTGAACGGCGGCATGCCTCATCCATATGGTTCTCCGAAATACGGCCTTATCTCCACTCTCTTTGCTCGACGTAGGCATATATTCCTCTTGACCCAATGCTCCCATCGCATCTTGACAGTCTTTCTTCCCGTGCTTCCTACAATCCACGGGGCCATTGGCACTAGCTGGCTTCATTGTTTCCGACTGGAGAAAGGACAATTGGTCTGGACCGTATAGTCCGGTCAAGAGTCCCAGCCTGCTCCTATAGCCCCAAATTCTCTCTCCCTCCTCTTACAAACCACCCCCCTCGTATCTGATCATTCCGTCATGGTGTCGATACCGGCACGTGCGTCCGAGTCCTGTGCGGTGTTCACATGGCGTGCGTCGTATTGCCCGATGGCATAGTATCGTCCGTATACGTCCTGTCCACTGTCGTCCACTGCAGTATCCGTCGAAGTGTGCTGCGTTGACAAAAGGATAAGGTGCAAAACGAAATTGGTAGTGTGGAGTGGGGCAGACATGGTGTGAAGGATTAGCGAGGCATGTAGTGCTCACGACATGCTTCCAGCCAATTAGAGCTAGAGGCTTGGGAAGGCATCCTTGTCTTCTCGACAGCGCAATCATTCACATCGTGGAAACCAGGGTTGTATGAAGACTTGTATACGAAAAGCTGGAGCTTGGGTATTGTTGTGTATCTTTCGCCGTTTTTCGGCAATGTATGCGCCTCTAACGCCGACGGTGCCTAAAATGTCCTCCTTGTCCTTGGTACATGCTGAGTGCCGACTCGCTGCATGTGTCTAAAAGAATCTCCACCAGATGAAGACGATGATGATGAATGCTAGTCCGCCGATGGGACCGTACTGCTTCAACAACAACTCCCAATTGATGCGCACGGCAGCCTTCTTGTACTTCCTACTGTCCTCCCTTAACCGGCTCGAGATATCGCCCATCCTCTCCAGACTGTCTCCTCGATACAGCAGATCCTCAATGTTCTTGGTCATGACCTTGGTAACGTCCTTCAGCTCATCGTTCAACTTATCCAGATTCTGTGTCGCCCTCGAATCTTGGTATGTCTTCTTTGTGCTCTGAATGAACTGATCGAACCCGACGAATTCGTACGGTCGGCATGTGGGTGAGAGGTACTGTTGCGGTTGGTATGTGGTGGTGAATTCGCGCTGGAGGTCGGAGAGGTATGTGAAAGCGAGTTTGCGCGGGTAGGAACGGTCGCATATGCAGAGGAAGCAGAGGTCGCCTTCGATTATGTAGCTGGTGGTTGTGTTAGCATGTGATCGAGGATGCTTCTCTGCATGTAAAGGCAGGGGCAATGCGCATACTGGAATGTGTAGTTTCCGCTCTCTATACTCGCTTGTTGTTCGGCGTTACGGTTTAGGCGTCGCTGTAACATCTTTACTTTGTTCGTGGCCTCGATGAACTCGGCATCGTTCTAGAAAATGTGAGCCCCATTTTTAGGCTACGTGAACAGCTCGAGAGGCGCCGTTACCTGGTTATTGTCGACCGAGGCTACCAAATGAAGGCCTAGACATGTATCAGCACGTGTGCAGCCTTCAATATTGCTGAGTTACTGACCATCGAGCCGCGATATTATGGTGTGTTTGATCATGGCGGCGGTTGAGGGTGCGGAGAATTACAGCTGGTGAGTGTACAGCGTCGCCAAGTGTTATGTCGAGCGCAAACTTAGGCCCGAGGATGTGTAGTCGCGTGGTAGGGGATACGTGTCGGGCTGATGATACCAGATCGCAAAGATGACGATGCGGAAAGGTCGCGCGGGAAAGCGCACGGACGCGCCAACGGCCATCACCGAACAACCAGCATGCCGTGACCCTTCAATGCACTCTTCATCGTGACTCTACAGACGCGTTGATCCGAATCTCGAGACCGGAGAGACTGAATGCAGTAATATCGGTATCCTTGTGACTGAATATCTGGTACAACCTCAACTCAGCGCCCCAGCCACCATGCGGAGCCGAGCTTCTATCCTCGCGTACCCTTTCAACACCTTCACTCTATGCTGCGAGTGGCGGACGCGCTTTCTACCCTGATTCAATTCACTCGATGCTCCAAGCTTCCCAATGGAACGCGACCTTAGCCATCGGTAGATCAGCCTTGCCGAACGCGATAGCTACTGCCTCAACGCAAACGACACACACCGGCATTTTGCCAGTTGCCGTTCATCTCAACCTACCCAGGTAGTCGCCTGCACTTACGACGTCTTTTAAGAAACACCTGCTCAAGTTCACATCAAACTCCTGCATTCAGTCCGAACGGCAAAATGTCGTTACCAGTAAGGTGCGTTCCCATTATTCACTACACCATGTACCATGCGGCGTCTTTACGACTTGTCTGCCAAGCGCGTGACTACCATTGTGCAACTGCTCAATACAACCTCCACATTCACTTCGCGCACCGACACTCTTGTCTTTTCACACGTGCCTATCGCTTGGTCCAGTAGCCTATTGTTCGCCTGTATCCACTGTCCGACAATAGAAAGCTCAGCGCGGATTGGCAACCCATACGTCGTCTCTCTCAGCTCCGATTGACAATCATAGACCTTCGTCCGCCACCCGACTCACCTCTCCACACGACTATCAACCGACACCTGTTCCGCCCGCACCAAAATCAGAGCAAACCACCGCACCACCTCCAACAACACCAAACAAACGAGCCAAGATGCACCACTCTGACCCAGACTCATCACCTCTATCTTCGCCGCCCTCTTCTCCATCTGAGCAGGTCTCACCCATCCCCTCAAGCCTGCCGAGCCAAGTCCCAAATTCTGCCATCTCAACAACAGAAAACGACTCGTCCATCATGCCATCGATCGAGTCTCCATCCTTACCTCAGCAGGCGCTGGCGCCTGCATCTACTACTATGCCGACATCCAACATGGGCGCTAAACGCGCATCTAAGCAGAGCCCGAAGAGATCTCACGAAGAAGTCGATGATGACGACGAAGAGCCCGCCTTCGGTACACCGCCTCCCAAACGCGCAGCCAGGAGCACAAGCTCAGCAACAAAAGCCAAGACTACGAAGAAGAAGACGCCTGCTCCAAAGAAGCCTGCGCCCAAAAAGCCAGCCCCGAAGAAAGCAGCAGCCAAGAAACCCGCTCCTGCAGCAACACCCAGCTCACGTCCCTGGCGCAACCGCAAAGCACCAGAGCGTTTCGAGGAGTTTGAGGAAAAGCCCACTTCCAAAGCTGCCCCGACCAAGAAGGGATCAAGCAAAGTTTTCGATCCAGTTTACATCACCACCAACTCCTCCAGCCGCCTAGTCAAAGCTGACATCTACGTAAGTCTTCGTCGCAATCCACTCACCACCCACACGTCAAAGAGCTCACACATCGCAGCACATGCTCCTTGAAGGACCAGCCTGGACCAATCTCAGCGCAGAGCAGCAAACTACACTCATATCTATGCTCCCCGAGAATAACACGCACCAAGCTCTGCTCGCCAAGATCAGCGCCGGCAACACAGAAGACACACGGCCTTCAGCCTTCACGCTAGCAAACAACTGCTTCCGTACCGATGTCGCCAAGTTCCAAGAAGATCTCAAGAACGGTCATTTGGCCAAGACGTGGCAGGCTGCTGCTGAGCAGGCTGTGATTGAACGTGCGGCGGGGGAGTATGACGAGTGGAAAGCGGCGGAGGCGGAGTCGTGGTGGGGTCAGAAGAGCAGGTGAGGTCTTTGATGGCAACTGTTGAGCTTATGATGATGGCTCAGACGGAAGTTCTGGTGCGCGCGCCTCGTGCGGCGTCAAATGGGACTCTGGAGTGCGAGTTTGGGGGAACTTGGTGGGCAACCCCGAGGTTCAGTTGCGACATCTAGTACGTATCTTCCCTCCTAGATATCATTTCTGCAAAAAGTGCGTGTGAAAAGCCGCCTCTCCTCCGTATTCAGTGTGTCCCTCCAGTCTAGCTATAAGTGTCTCCTTATCTCTTTGTTCCTTTGTTTGGCCACCGATCGCATCAGTGAAAGACCAAAACTTCCAACAACGTGACTTCTCCGTTACGTCAGCGCACACTATTGCGACTTAGCGAGTGTAAACAACAATTTTTCTTGTTTCCATGCATTCATTGAGTCGCGACTCTGCTACCCCTCTACCTTGGATATTCTCAGCCCACTGCGACGACACCGCGACGACACTACGACGTGCACTCCCGCATCCGTCAGCAACCGCAGCAGCATTGAAGACGCCGAGGCTCAAATAAACAGCCCAAAGGAACTACACCGCAACCGAACAAGCGAACACTTGCGCGACAACCTTGGAAGGTCTCTACCGCAGTCACGCTATCAGCGTAAGTCCAAACCCCGCTTCATCATCCCATCCACACGATCACTAACACACCCTTCAGCGCCGTGACAAGTAGCGAAGACGTCTCCGTCTACTACCCCTTTAAATACTGCGCCAGAGACATCCAATCTCCTGCAAGGCGTGAGTACCAACTTCGCGACCGTCGCCAGAACCGCCGCCGCCACCGCTGCAGTGACCGCGACAAACACCATCAGTAAAACCGCAAACACAACATCAACACTCGCCGCTTCCGCCACCTCCAACAACACAGCCGCAAAGATGGACGCTATCGTCTCACCAACTCTGTTCAAGCTTGTAAGCGCCGGCTACACTATCATGAACAAGGCCAATTCCGCACTCGAATATCGCGCCCTCGAATACGCATTGTACTCCGTCATGACTGTTCGGGGCACTGTAAGTGTGATGAGAATCTGGAAAGGCGCAAGGACTCCACCAGGAGTCGACCATAACACATGGAAGGCTATCACTTGGCGCGTTCTTAACTGGCTTCAAATTAGGCTTAAGACTAATGCTGGTCTACGGAAAGAGCTGGAAGTTGCGAAGAAGCAACAGAAGGAGTACGAGATGAAGGAGAAGGCGAGGTCTGATCGAGCGCGTCGAACTACACAGGTCGACGAAATTCCAGACTTTGCGACACCTGTGCGCGAAGAGCCTACACAGACACCAGAAGTGGTCCGCAAACTACAAGAGGCACTCAAGGACACGACTGAGCGCTTGAAACGCAGCAACGCGCTGGTCAAAGAGCTCCAGCAGTCTACGAGCAAGCCTGCGCACCCGAGTAGAATGTCCACCTCGTCTCTCAACTCCTCAACTCCAAAGCGAGATGCACTGGAGGATATGGGGCATCAGCTTCGGGCGGCGCGGCAAGAGGCTGTAGATGCCAAGATGGAAGCTGCTTCCAAGGACGAGCAGCTACGCCTGGTGCGAGAAGAGGCCGATGGCGCTAAAGCCAAAGTCGCTTCGCTACTGGCTTCCCATGGTCAAGAGCCTCAGGCAGTACCGGGAGGGATTGAGGCGGTTGAAGCACAAGTGGCATCCCTGAAGTCCGAGCTGGAAGCTGCACGACAGGAAACACAGATGGCTAACGTGGAACTCCTCTCAGTCAAGGAGCAATTGGGCTGTGCGAACAACGCCATTAAAACCGCTGGATCTGGCTTGGCTCAGGTGAAAGAACTCGTGGCGAAAGTCCAAGAAGAGAAGGAAGAGGCTGAGGCCAACGCAGCTTCTCTAACCATGCAGTTGACAGCGTCCCGAGAGGAAGAAGAAAAGGGCAGGGCCGATGCAGCTTCGATGGAGAAAGACTTCCACGAGGTGCGATTACGACATAGCAAGGAAGTCACCGCGCTCAAAGAGCAGGTCAAGGAGTGGGAAGGCATTGCTGCGGAGGCGAAGCAGATCAACGATAATGTGCAGACCGCGCTTAATGAAGAGAATGAGGAGCTCAAGAAGCAGCTGAAGGAGGAGGGTGCTCGTCGCGAGGCATTGGAGAAGGAGGTCAAGAAGCTGAAGTCAGAGACTGACGGTGCGAAAGCTACAGAGATGACTGTCACCGCGGCGACGTCGCTCACTCCATCTGAGACGCAAAAGCCACCGAGCGCGATCTCTTCCTACCAGCCTATGGATAATCAGCCACGTCTCGTCCCCGTTGCCGGTCTCACAAGCCCATCTACACCCATTCCCATCGCATTATCAGGCCCGACAACCACTCCCGATACCTCGACACCAAAGGACCACAAAAAACTCACCGCAGACTGGAATGCTAGGACGATCACACTCCCTGCATACATTGAAGGCTTGGATGCGTTGAAGCGGAAGTCTGATGATGAGGGCGAGACACCCAGACCGGTCAAGCAGCTTCGGCTTAGCGGCGAGAGTGCGGAGATTCCAACAGGAAATCTACTCACGCCTGGCGGTGGACCCGCATTCAAATTTGCCGTACAAGAACAGGTCCAAGTCCAAGAAGAACAGACAGATGATGATGGTGACGCGTCTATCGACTTATTCTGGGATTCTTTCGAGGGCGATGCGGACAACTCAGGCACTTTCACATATGGCTTGGGCGACGAAGTTGGCGCGGAGGCAGCAGGTCTTCCCGAGCAAGACGCAGATAACGCCGAGACAAACACTCAAGGCGATATCCTCGTCATTGACGGCGATACCATCATCGATGATAGCGACCACAGCAACGACGATCTCTACGCCATGCCTTCGCCGAGTCCAAACAAGCAGCCGCCGCAGGTCGTTAGCGATGTCCCCGACATCGATGTCCCCGATGTCGACATCCCTGACATCGAGCTGACTCCAGCTACCAAGCGGAAGATTGGCATTGAGGGCGATGAGGAAGCGTCGGCAAAGCCATCTCAGGTACCGAGGACGAAGGAGGACCTTGCTGATGAGCAGACACTGGCTTTGGAGGACATGACTCCAATTGCCGTTACTCGCAAGCCTGCTATCATATTGACGCCTGCTACGAAGCGGCTCTTGACAGAAGATGACGGTGAGGAGCCGCCGAGGTCGTCACAGATGCCATCTAGATCAGCACAGTTGCTACTGAGGTCATCGAAGACGCCGAGGACGACGGTTGACCTTGGTGATGAGGAGACTCCGACTTTGGACGAGATGACGGAGAACGTTGTGAGCGCGTCTCGCGAAGGAGACGAGGCGACTGAAGTCCGCGGTCCACCCGAAGTTCCAGCCCACAAGCATGATGCTCCACCGGCAGCCCATCCCGCGTCGACTGAGGAAGCGGAGCCGAACAACATCCCTACCATGGGCAACACCGACGCAACAAACGTCGTCAACACCGCCGGCGCCATGAACCTTGCACCAACCCAAGTACCCAATAACAGCACTCTTTTACCCGAACCCGTCGCAAGTCCCGGTAGGAGAACGCGCAATGCCGGCAAGCCTGTAGGGTCTCTCAACGAGAACGTGTTGAGTAAGATGTCTGCGTCGCCGATGAAGGGTGAGAAAGAGATAGATGCGGAGAAGGCGAAGGGACAGGGCAAGTCGCCGGTGAAGACAAGGGCGAAATCGCCGACAAAGACAGCAGCGAAGGCCCCAGCGAAGGCGCCGGCAAAGGCACCGGAGAGATCGCGAGTGAGTAGGAGCCCGTCTAAGGGAAATGTGATAGATCTTAGCTTCAAGCAAGGTCGATGAGAAGCAGGAGAACGGAAATGAGAACGGAGAATGAGGACGAAGACGAAAACGAGAACGAGAACGACAGCAAGAACAAGAACGACACAAGCACAACAAACATCTCCGTCGCAAAGAGACGACTAGATCTCTCGACTGCATTCGCGAGGCTCGTGTATATGACACGAGGATACGAAGCGATGCGGTCTCCCCCTTAAAAAACAAAAGACGCTCACAGGACCGATGACAAGAGGGTGCTGATCGGATGTTGAGCAGAAGAGAAAGAGCAGGAGACTATACCAATCAGTGCGGCACCGTTAATCTGGGTGTTGGCATTGATAGCGAGGTATAGGACGGGTTTGGTGTGAGAATGTGATGAAAGGGATGATGTGATGGAAGGGATGGAAACGATGATTCTGGTGGGGTTTACTTTAACGGGTTTGCGATGGTGTTGGTGGAGGGTTTGGAGGGGTTGGTGTTTTGTAGCACGGCGTGGGTTGGAAAGAAGAAGAAGAAGATGGAAAAGGGAGCGCTGCTATCTCCAAAGAGAGCTGGTACAAGGAATATGAGAGAAGATGATGGATGGGACGCGGGCGAGTGTGGTCAAGCCATGGAAAGATGGACAGAAAGGAGTGTCCACCCATCAGATTGAGTAGCACATCGCCAGACGTCTGCGTTGAGTAATGCGAAGGTGCGCCTGCAGCAATTTGCGGTATACAGTCTGCGGTGTCCTTTTCTTTGACTAAGATCGTAAACACATGTATTCACGTCTATAATTGAATTCATGGCTACTGTCGATGTAGACAGAATTGATCATTCATCTCCCCATATCTCTCATCGCAGGACTACACGACTGTCAAGAACCACGCCTTCAGTATCGAGTGACCCACACTGCGCTAATCACTACCACATCGCTTCCTGCTTACCAGTGGTAGTCCACCTTGGGAATAGCCTCTGGTCGAGACGCACCCCTGGGCGAGTCCGAACGACCGCGACCGCGACCACCTCCTCGTGACTGACTGCTTGCCCGTCCACGAGAAGTTCCCTGTCTAGCACCATCACGGTATCCGCTCGAAGCTTGATATCCACGACCATGACTTGTGTCTATACCAAAATCCGAATAACCGTCATACTGAGGGATAGCCTTCGTCATGGGCTGTGCTGGCTTCGGTGCGAGAGCAGTCGCAAGGGGTACAGGTACGCCGCCATCTCCAGTCGCTTCATGATCGCTCCAGCCCTCGGCATCATCCTTAACCCTCTGCTCGGCATCCTCAAGAGCAGCCTGAAGTTTAGCATTCCTCTCGTTTTCTCGCAGATCGTCCAACTCTGGAGAACCTCGAAGGGTAGCCTCCTTTACACATATGGCTAGCATAGCCCACACGGTGTATACAGCATCGTTGCCTGCGTTATGAAGAAACCACGCGGGGACATCGAAGGCGTTCATGATGCGACCTAGACTGGTAGGCTGCTGCTCCCGACGCCAGACTTTGTACATGGTCGCGGTATCCATGGCCTCAAGGATGTTCTCTACCTTCATCGGATCGTATCCAAGCTGTTGGAGGTAGCGAACGTCGCCCAGAGTATCATGACCGAGGAAGACAATGTTACGCTTCTCAGTAGGATGAAAGTGGCTGAGGAAGTCGTCGTCGTCTTGGGCTGCGAAAGGGGCGTGGAAACAGGCCGCGACATGACTCGCAGCTTCTTTGAGTGATATAAAGGTCGACTGGCCGAACTTGAAGCTATCAGGATGTCCAGCAACGAATTCGGAATTGACCAGGTGACGATGTTCCTTGATGCGAAAGTGACGGGCACGAATCTTCTCTCTCCAGGCCTCGCCGTCCTTGCCAGACGGAACACCTACCAGCTCGCGTGTATCCAAGGTGGCGACACCGACTTCAGTGATCTTGTGATGGGCCCTCTCATACGACTCAACATCAACACAGACGAAGACGACAGACTGATCGAAGGGGAATGGAGCTGGCTGGGATGGATCGACTGCCGGAGATAAGGTCGACGATGATGGGTCCTGAATAGAATCGCGCAGACCAAGATACCTGGACGCGCGTTTGAACTGATCCGTCATTGACTTGTTCTTGCCCAGTCGCTCTTGTTGCTTCTTTGCTTTGTTCGCCTTGTTCTTGGCCTTCTGTGCTTCAGCCAGGTTCTCCATCAGTTGCTTGAAGTCCTCCAGAGTGGGTTGTTCAAGCGGTGGGTGTGACGGTTCGCCTGCCGCGCGGAAGTGCTCGTTGGGGGCGTTTTCGGCCATGCTGTCGACGTCTTCGCGCGAGTGCGAGCGTCCAAGGTATCGAGGTAAGCAGCGAGGATGATCAGGGAATTGCACAAGTAGGCCCTGGACATGACAGTTAGTCTAAAGTTCGGGCAGTACGTATGAGCGGGCAATGTCACCTCCTCACGCTGCTGGTCGCTGATCCTCAAAGAGAGATTGAGGTGCTTGTTGATCTCACCAAGCAAGGCTAACACTTGAATCTCACGAACGAGTACAAAGGGTTTGGATGTCTCTTCGATATCCCAGACGTAGTACCTGGTGAGGTTAGCAAGTGATTGGTGAGAGTCGTCGCGATGCGGTGATATCCTTCAAAGTAATCATGTGAGGCGAACTTACAGGTCCCACTCTCGCTGCCAAAACTTTCCTTGGTCGAAAAAGGCAGATGCAATGTCTTGCATATGACTCTTATCGCAGTACTTGTAAGGGTACTTGGACAGGGCCTGGATGGGTGTGAAGTGATGGCGAGGTGAGGCTAAGTCACCACGTTGCAGATCGGTAGCCGGAAGACCAGCGGCATCAGTTCGAGGAGCTGGGGCTGAGGCGGGGGATAGGCGCATCGAGTCCAGGTTCGGGTTGAAGGAGCTATCGGCGTCTTTGACCCAGACGTATCGGCGCTCGGTGTTCTCGACGGCAGGCGGCGTCTTTATGGACGTATCGATCTTACTGGTTGAGTTTTGTTTGCTAGCAGGCGCATTCGGCGGTGTGTTCTCCAGTGATACACCGCCAGTGGAGTCGTTGTAGCTGGCATGGTCAGGTTTGGGTTCTGGGTTGGGCTCAGGGTGTGGAGACACGGGGCGGTCAGGAAGAGCATCAAGGTCTGTTTGAACGAACCTCCGAAGACGCTGTAGCCGTGCCGAAGCCATGGTGGTTGTTTAACGAATGGAACTGGTGGGAATTGTTTGCGATAGAAAGCGCGAAGATATATGCGGGGATCGCGCTTGGACAGACGGATGAGGGAGGAGCAAACGGCAGGCGCGGTGAGCGAGAGCCTCACCCAGACATCTGAGGGAACTGAAAAGAGAGTCTGACTTGATCTGATAGTGGTCTTTACAAAGGAGATGTATCAATTGAAGGCGCACGGTGTAGATTTGAGGAGACGTGTGTTTGAAGGTGCATTATCACGGAAGGTGCACCTTATGCCACCTAGGTGTCCGTGGAATTACATACCGACTCAGGTAGGTGCAGATGCAAAGCCTTCCCAGGCATAAGGTCAGCGTGACACATTTTCTTGCCAGTAAGGTGACGCACGAGAGTGAAGGACGATACAGTTGCTAAGCACAGATGAGGTGTGCGGGGCGGGCGGGAGTTGCGAGCCGGCAGCTGGGCAAACTCGCAAGCGCATGGGCGTTCCTGAGCGATCGACAAGAGGCGCGCCCAAAGCGGCTAGCACGAACTCCCTCCGCGAACCTCAGTGCGACCAGCTCCCATCAGCCGCCCTATCTTGTCAGCGCATATCGCAACTCGCGCCCTCACGATCGCGCTGATTCTCCTCAATACTCTAGTTGACGCGTGGCTGGAGAGTCTGACGCGTGCGTCGCAACCCTCCATCTACTCTGCCTCCCCGCGATGCGCCATGTCTGAAGCCGACGATGCGCCAGAAATGGCCCAACCCGCCCCGAACCCGGACGCCCAGACGACGGTCAACGACTTCCTCGACTACACCGAATTCTTCCCGTCGGACCTGGTGCGCTCGCTGACGCTGATTGCCGACCTCGACTCGACCTACTCCGACGCCGTCCAGCAGGTCCACGAGCTGACGGTCCAGTATGGCAAGCTGCCCGCCCTCCCCGAGCAAGAGCGCCCCGACCCGGTATTACTACGCAAGAACATCGCCCAGCATCTTCAAAAGGCCATCAACCAGCGAGAGTTTGCCTACACAGAAGCGTCGCGGCTGTATGAGGTCACCGTCCGCCACTGCCAGCGCTCGTCAGTCATCAAGCGGAAACTCCAAGCCCAGCCACAGCCGCCCTCACGCGACCCGACGCCCCCGCCAGTCTCTCCCAGCGCCCACCGACCCGTAAACCGCGACTACATACGCCCCGCCCACCTGCGCCTCACCTTCGATGGCGGCCGACATGGCGCCAACACCTCACGACCCCGAGACAGGCACCGGAAGACCGCCGTTCCTCTGCCACGCGGACGTGGGCGCCGCGGTGCAACATACTCGTCAGACTCGGATGGTGGTTCAGGCATCGACGTGGCATCACCCAGGAAGCGCAAGGACAACCGGGACAGACATTCAAGGGCGACTGGGGGCAGGTCGCGCGCTGCTGGCGTACTCGGTACCAACGTGCACAGCTCCATCGCCGGCATATCCACCAGCAATGCGCTCGCACAATTGGCCCCACCACCAGCCGATGCGAAACCTGGTAGCAAATGGGCGCCCTGGAAGAAGTTGACCGAATACGAAATGGCCGTCCTGCGCAAGCAGATGAAGAAGAACGCTGTATGGACTCCTAGTCAGACCATGATGATACGCGAGCTGGAGAAGAAGCACCGCACAGAGGCCGACTACGAGAGGGAGAAGGCTCGCTGCGAGGCGACAGGTGAACACTTCCTGGACGAGGAGCCCGAGACGCTGCAACAGATTATGACGGCTTCTGGCCTGGGGCTTTTGGCACCGCATGGCCCGCAGGCAGCAAATCCACCCCCGCCCATCGAGTCTGTCGAGGAAGATTCCAGGGAAGAATCCGGTCCAGTCAGCATCCGCCTCAAGCCTGTCGCGACAAAAGAAGGCAGGAAGCTCGACCGCATGTCACAGCGCCAAAAGG